TTGAACATATGTCTCTTCTGGATCCAATAACGTTCCATTTGATGGCAACTAAAGTACTTACACGTGTGAATTCCAAATCACTGTGGTTAAACACGGGTAAAGTATGCACGCTGGTAGAAATTTCAGAGCACAGATGTGGGCAATATTCATCCAAGCTCTCATCCTCAAGGATGCAGACACGCAAATGTGATGCTCATTTGCAATCGTACCACATAGAGTTTTGTAGAAATTTCTTCACTTTTCATGTGCATTTCTCTATTCCATTTATTCCTCAAAAGCATTCTTTTAAAGTCTGCATTTCCCTGAATATCCATAATTTACTCAGCAATGTAGGAATCCTGTGTCGTACCACCCAGATCACTCCTTCAGGACTAAGCACTTCGTTGCCCATCTCTGCCCATGTTTATGAAACGAGGACCTTGAGGGGCACCTGGGTACCAAAGCCTTTCTGTGTCCCCCATCTCCTGCTGGCAGGAAATAGGCTTCATTCAGCCTCCATGACCTTCCCTGAGTTCCAAAGGTCAGGTTCAAACAGCTGCTAATCAGGGAAGGGAGAGGAGGGGCAGTCAGAAAAAACAGTAGTGCAGCCTTCAGGCAGGGTTCTGGTTCCCCACCCCACCCCACCCCCGCAAGGGATATATTTACATAACAACATCTTTGAGCTGTTTTGCAGATGCTGTAGCTCCCACCAGGTGGGAGAAGTTAACTGCATGCTGCCCACAAGCACAGAGACCTCAGACGCGTTGGAACCAGAAGGTTGATGATGGTGACACCTGATTACCTCACCGCCAACCAATCAGAAGAATGACCAGAGCTGACCACGCCCCTTTGAACCATTACTATAAAACCTCTCACTACCCCCTCCAGGGTTGAGACAGACTGTTCTGAGGGCATTAGCCCGCTGTGGCCCCCTCTGCCTGGCAAAGCAATAAAGCTATTCTTTTCTACACCAAAAACTCTGTCTCTGAAATTCAACTCGGTACCAGGATACAGAAGCCAAATTTCGGCTACATTCATGACTGAAGGCTCTCAGCTGTGTTCCTCTCTGGACAGTACATTCAGCCCAAGGGACTTGCTTCATCTAAATCACACCCCTCCCTGGGGGCAGTCTGCATCTAACGACTGTTTAATATGCAGTATAAAGTACCGGTCCCTGACCTTGAGATGGGACAACTCAAGGGGGTCATGTGGAATAACCTCAGCCCTCGACTATGACCACCAGGATTCAGAAGCTCTCAATCTGCTTTTCTCTCTACTCTGCCCCCACCGATATCGATCCTGAAGGTACAATCAAATTTCTAAGGCTGGGCTGCCTCTGATCTCCCCGATATTCTAGGTGTAGGTACATGACAGGATGCCCAGTAAACTGAAGGTTTCTGGAGAAACTTTGCTTTCCCAGTAGAGATATAACCTCATAGTGTTCTACCTTCTTACTTTTCTTTCCATACTTATGATTCAAATCCTGGAGGAAAGTAGTCACTAGCAATCATGTAGCATCAAACATATGACAGTAAAAGTGCAAAGGATGGAAGGGCTGGTTATACAAACAGCTTCGGTCCTTGTAGGACTGTTGAACTGCCTGCCTTTGGAAGTCTAGTTAAGTTAGATAAAATAAGTTTATATTTGCTTAAGCCAAAGTAGTAGGGGTATTTGTTGCATACAACTGTATACACTTATAATTGAAATCCTTTAGTTTCTTAGATATTGAATTTTTCTCAAGTTTTTTCATAACTAGAATTAGAAGTGTTGAATAAATCGTGGTCATAGGTCTACTTCTGAAGACATTGTTATTTTCTCACGATACACTGTTAAGTATCAATAAAAAAGTGACTAAGTTCAAGGGTGTAAACGTTTTAATGTTTCTAAACATGTACTGCCAAAAATGTCTACTGCAGCCATTCATGCTACCTCCTAAAGTTCATTAGAGTTCCGTCTCACAAAACTATTGCCAGCACTAAGTATTGCCATTAATATTGCTCATTTGATAGATGAAAAATGCTCTCTCAAAACTTCAAATTGGAAAGTCTGCTCATTACTGAAGTTGAGAGCAAAGTTTTTGTGTGTCTTGGACTTTCCTGAGAATGAATGAATGAATGAATGAATGAATGCTATATGTGTGGCAGGAACTGTTTTCCTCTCTGGGATTATAAAATGGGCAATACAAACACAGTCCTTTCATCACGGCGTTTATATTATACTGGGACATATCCAGATAGACATAGTAAGTCCAACGATGAATAAAGTAGTGGAGGGAGACACAGTGATGAGGGGGTTGCTGTATTTAGGTACAGCGATCATGGAAAGCACATCTCAGGAAGGGATATTTGCTCAGAGACTAACTGCAGTGAAGGAGTGAAAAAGGGAAGACAGGGGATGCACTATTCCTGGCAAAGTGAACATCGTATGTAAGACAATGAGATGGAAATGAAACTTCCAGTAAAACAAAACAACAGAGGTGGCAGCAGCAGCAGCAACAACGAAGTCCATTATGTCTAAACAGAGGGAGAAGGGGAGAAGATGGAAGGACACAGGTCAGGCAGGAAGGACCAGCTGGTGTAAAACCTTATATACCATGTACTACGGGTTGAACCGTATCTCCCCGAAAAAGATTTCTAGAGTCCTAACCCCCAGTACCTCAGGAGGTGGCCTTATTTAGGGATGGGGCCTCCACAGAGGTAATCAAGTTAAAATGAGGTCATTAAGGTGGGCCCTAATCCAACATGACTGTTGGCTTTATTAAAAGAAGGAATTTGGGCACAGAGACAGACACACAGAGGGAAGATGATGGAAAGGGGCCCAGGGAGAAGATGGCCATCGACACAGCCAGGGAGAGGAACTTGGAGCATATTTTCTCCTCACAGCCCTCAGAAGGAACCAACCCTTAATTTCAGACTTCGACCCTCCAGACTGAGAGACAATCATCTTCTGTTGTTTAAGGCCCTGAGTGCCCTATATGCAGTAATAAGCCGTAGGCTAACCCTGAGCAGGAGAATGATACAACCCACGTTACAAGTTAAAAATAAGGATCATTTCTGTTTGCTATTTGGAGGATTAAAACAAAAGCAGAAATTAGGAACCAAAGGAGGGGAATTATTGGGCAGGAATCGGGATAATCTCAGTGGAAGTGACGATGTCTTGAAAAGAGTGGCAGAGTTAGGAATTTGAGAAGTGGACAGATTTGAAATTGATTTTTTAAGCTTGTTAATATGGGCTGTGAATAAAGTTACGGATTCAAAATTTGACAGCTACATTTTTGTTCTGAAAATTTACTGGGTTAGGAAAATTTGGGCAATTACAGATGGATAGGATCAAAGTTATTATTATTTTTGTTTGCGGTACGCAGGCCTCTCACTGCTGTGGTCTCTCCCGTTGCGGAGCACAGGCTCCGGATGCACAGGCTCAGCGGCCATGGCTCACGGGCCCAGCCGCTCCGCGGCAAGTGGGATCCTCCCGGACCGGGGCACGAACCCGCGTCCCCTGCATCAGCAGGCGGACTCTCAACCACTGCGCCACCAGGGAAGCCCCCAAAGTTATTTTTGACATGCTATATCTTTTAAGTGTACAGATGGCTAATGGATAATGTCAAGTGGGCAATCAGATAAAAAGGTCTAGAACTCAATGACAAGGTCAGAGCTGTAGATATAAATTTCAGAGCCACCACTGTATGTAGACTTAAAAGCTATTTGACTTATACGGAATTACCTAGGAAGAGTAATTACAGCAAAAAAGTACAAAAACAAGAGCAGTGAAATACATCTTAGAGCACTACAAAACGTAAAGACTGGTAAGAGGACACAGTAAAGAAAATTGAGAAGTAAAATAATGCTTTTGCCTCTTTAGCATATTGGGATCCAAATCGATTCCAAGGAGTCAGATCACCATCTTGCAAAGGGTAGCAGTGAAAAATAAGAGACAAAGAAACAAATTTTTATGACGAAGGCAATGATTCAAAACTTCAGATCCAAAAAAAAAAAAAAGAAAAAAAACTTCAGATCCTCAAGAGATGTCCAAGAGAATAAGAGCTGAAGTAGGTATTTGACTCAGCAATTAGGTGACCATGTCTTACGTAAAATAGAACAAAATCCGCCGAATGACGGGGGCAGAATCCAGTCTACTGTAGGGTGTATGAATTATGAGAGAGGTGAGCGCAATTTAGGTTCACAAGCCCTTCTTCAGTAAAGGAAGAAGCAATGTGTGTAAATTAGAAAGACTTTCTACTTGTGTGTGTGTCTGAAGATGTGAGCATCTTTGGAGACTGAAGGTTTCAGCAGGCGAGCACATTTACCTTTGTACAACCTCGAAAGAAACAGGATCTCATCTTTCTCTCTATGGGGCATTCATTCTCTGATTCATTTATTTACTGATTCAGAAAGCATGTAGAGAGCCCACTGTATGTCAAGTATTACTTTGGGGGCTGGGGATATAAGGAAGGGAGACACGAGCTTCAATTTTGATTGAAATTGTGTGCGTGGGAGGAGGAGTACTTTTGCTTCCCTGCCACCCACACTGGAAGATGTGAACAAACACTGACATGGTTTCTAACAGCTCAAGGCTGCGTTCCTAGGATGATCCTTTTCCTTAAAAAGTGCCTGCCTGAGGGCTTCCCTGGTGGCGCAGTGGTTGAGAGTCCGCCTGCCGATGCAGGGGACACGGGTTCGTGCCCATCCGGGAAGATCCCACATGCCGCGGAACGGCTAGGCCCGTGAGCCATGGCCGCTGAGCCTGCGCATCCGGAGACTGTGTTCCGCAACGGAAGAGGCCACAACAGTGAGAGGCCTGCGTACCGCAAAAAAAAAAAAAAAAAAAAAAAAAGTGCCTGCCTGAGAAAGCAGGCACTTTTCCAAATATGGAAAAATAAGTACCATATTTACCCTCTAGCCTATAAAAAAAAACCAGACAAAATTGATCAAACAACAGCTTACCAGAGTCAGAAAAAACACAGCGAAACAGAAGAAATAGAGGAAACACAGGATAGGGAAGCTTGTAATTGCCCACCTTACCTCTTGGAGTATCTGCGGTGCCCCAGGAAGGGTATGCCCGGAGGAGAGCCTGGTGTTCTTACAGAGTTGAGGAACAGAGTAGATACAAGGGTGCCAGGGTGGCCAGGGTGCACCAGGCAGACTGCTGGACAGGAGAAAACTGCGGCCGGGAGAGCTCTGTAGTTCTGCTGGTAGCTCTCCCTGCATCTCCAGACAAATAAGGAAGCGGTGCATCTACGAGATGAAACCAAACGAGACTGGAGAGAGCCCCACCTGGAAGAAAAATGCCCGAGGCAAAGAGTTTCTGAGCTCAAGCCCAGCTGGGAATAGTTTGCATTTCCATCAGCTGTAGAGGAAACACCTGTCATTTGAGGACCATCAATTAAGCAGAAAGTCATTGCTAAGCTGTGGTGCAAAAAGGTAGCCTTTTCTTAAAGACTTTCCTGGCCCACACAGTAAATAAGAAACAAGAATTATCAGAAGAGGACAATTAAACAGTTATTTTAACTGTATTCCACATGTTCATGAAGCTGGAGGAGACTGGACACAGCACCAATGATAAACAAAGCCGGACACTAAAATGGTCAGGACAGATTTTAATTAGAATATTTGGTGCACTAGGTAAGAGGGTCCAGCATGAACTGAAGGTAGCCTGGATTTGTACAGAAGAGACTGGATGTTTTAAATGGAGAGTGAGGGAGCAGGGAGTGGGAACTGCTGGGGTTTGAACAGAGTCATGTCCACGAGAAGCCCATCTGGGTTGCAGTCCGGAGTTAATCAAAGTCAGGCCCCTCCCCACCCACAGAGCCTGGGAGAGGGGCCCTCCCTGCAGGTGTTGGCTGGAGCATCCATTAAGTTGGCAGCTGTGAGTTTTCTCAGGCAGGCACTTTATAAGGAGAAGGATCATCTTAGGAACACAGCCTTGAGCTGTTAGAAACCATGTCAGTGTTTGTTCACGTCTTCCAGCATGTGTATGTGTGTGGGGGACAGGGAGAGATGGACAGGTCACTGGGGCTGAGGGGCTGCAGTTTTATCTGCCAAGGTGGAGGCCCAGCTAGGAGAGGACTGAGAGGGTCCTGGCAAGAGTTTGGTGAATATCGAAATGGAAGATTTTTTTTTCCTTTAGGAGCCAAATCAACTTCCTAGAAATGAAAATCACAGTGTCTGAGATTAAAAATATATATTAGATGGGATTAATGGCAAATAATACATAGACAAAATAAAAATGTAAAAATTTGAAGGCATCAAAATAGAAACTACACAAAATGAAACACAATGAGAAAAATGAAATAAAATTAAAGCATAAGTGAGCTGTGGAACAGCCTCAAGTGGCCTAAAATATGAGAAATTTGTCTCCAAAGAAAAATAGGGAACTTGGTAGATAAAGGTATTTTTGAAAAATAATAGAAAAAATGTATCACATTTGATGAAAGAAGTTCCAAGAAGTTCAATGGAACCCAAAACAAGAAACATGAAGAAAGCTATAAAAATGCACAGTATAATCAACTTCCTCAAAATCAGCAATAAATCATAAACAAGGTCATAGAAAAATGCACATGAAGTATAAAAGAACACAGTAAATCCTAATGCTGACTTCTTACCGTAATCCATGCATGAAGCAACTCTTTTAAAGTTATGAGAGAAAAACTGTCAGCCTACAATCCCATATGCACTGGAAATATCTTTCAAACACAAAGGCAAAATTAAAATTCTTTCAATGTAAAATCTGAAAGAAATGATTGTAACCAGTCCTGCAGTATGAGAAATACAGGTTCTTCAGATAAAAAGGAAATGACACCCAAAGGAAAGCTAGATCAGCTCAATGGGATGAAGAGGATGGGAAATAGTAAAAATGAAATATTTTTAATAGTTAAAAACTGATGGTGTAAAAAAGTAATAATGTATTGTGGCATATATAACAAAGTTAAAAGTAATTACATGTAAAACATGACAATAACATCAAAAGGTTTAAATGGAAGAAATAGAAATATAATATTGTAAGGTTCTTATATGTAAGGCAGAATAATAGTACTTGAAAGATACTATACTATAGGATACTATAAATCCTAAAGCAGGCACAAGAGAAATAAAAGAGTTGGAACTAGTAAGCCAAAAGAAGGAGATAAACTGGAATCATAGAATGTATGTAGTAGTCACTAAATAGATATGGACTGCATAAAAAAGAATATACTAGAAAAAGAAGATACGGTATATATATACAATGGATTATTACTCAGCCATGAAAAAGAAGGAAATAATGCCATTTGCAGCAACATGCAGCAGTCGTTTACTCTTTGTTCAGACTTCATGTCTGGTGCATTATTAGTCCTCATCCAATGCTGCTCTCATCACAGGCACTGTTGGCAGTTACTGAAGAGAGAGACAGACCTGGAGGGTCTCACACTGGGAATGAAATACTGAGCCTTCCACATGCAACTCTTGGTCCAGACTGCTGATAGAGCAGGTTAAGGAAAGAAGAATAAGACATTTGTTACATACGCAATGATGTATTATTACTCCATGGCCAGCATGGCGCACACAACGCAGATGGCAATGTATTGATGGAGGAGGTTATAGCCTTAGTTGTGACGATGGGAGTGATTTTTAATGTTTTCACTTTCCACGAAGTTGCATTTGTTATTCTCCTCCTCTAAAAATCTTAATTACTTGAAATGAGAAGATTGAAGAACAGTGACTTTCCATCAAGCCAGCGCATGTGTGAAAAATTATAAATATTTATGTAATCATACTTATTTTTATGTAGACTATCTTTGGAAGGATAAGAGAGAAACTTTTACCGGTATTCTCTGGAAGAGGAACAACTTGGTCAAGATTTGGGGAGAGAAAGACTTCTTCATCACTGAATACTATTGTTAATGGTTTGAATTTTGTCTTAAGTATATATTACTGTTTGGGTTGAATTGTGTTCCTCCAAAATTCATATATTAGTCTTAACCCCAGGGCCTCAGATTGTGACCTTATTTGGGAATAGGGTTGTTGTAGATGTATATGTGTCTGTGTCCCAATTTCCTCTTTTGTTGCAAGAACACCATTAATACTGGACTAGGGTCATACTTCAGTATGACCTCATGTTGTGGTACTTTGTTATGGTAGTCCTAGCAAACTAATACAATTACTCATTAAAATATAAGCATTAAAAAAAAACAGGTGGATAATTAATGTTCAGAATCCAGCCATACTTCAGAGGGAATAGCATCAAGAGAACATGGTGAGTTGTTCTAGGGAAGGGGATGGGGTACAAAACTTTGACAGCGATGGAAGGGAAAACTATAAGGAAGAATAAGGCAGCAAAATCGTTGGACTTAATTGAAAGAATTTATAGCTGAACCATGAAGACACACGTTTGTCTAGACTGGGTTTTGTTGTTGGATGTGTGCTCTGTGTCAGCCATGTTACTTGAGTTTTAAATTGACTGTAAACTTTCACAGGGCCAGCTCTGTTCATAAATGTTAGACGTCTGGCATTCATAATTCTCCAATAGAGTTCTCAGACACAGATGGCTCGTTGGATTCAGTGTGTGCCTGAAAGGAAAGAACTAGAACATTGGGCTGGGGGTTAGAACACCTGGATTGTATTCTGACTTTTATCACTTGGTTAAGTGTTGGAAATTGGTAACTCTTTGGAAGCTATTAAAAGCTGTGCCAATATTTCTGCTTAATGCAAAGGGTTTATGGTTTTCTGTATCACTGTCATTTCTTTATTTCTCTGGGTCATTGGTCGTTGTTTCTTTATCATATTTGTGTTATCTGTGCGTGGAAGCGAGAAGATAGGGATGGAGCTACTTATGTATTTCTTAGCTACAGTAAACTGTGCTCCTAAAATCAGCATGAACTGCTTTTTTGTTGTTACCTACTGTAAAATTGTTAGTGCTCCTGCTGGTATTAGTGCATTAATATACTTTGAAACAAAACAAGATATTTCACTTCTTGGAGAAGTTGACTATAAGCTCTTTGGCACTATGATAATCTCACTGTCAACTGGATAAATGTTCCAAAGCTCATTTCATCTATTGCTTACTTGCCTCAACTATTTTAAAATTACTTTCGAGCTGCAAAATTTGCTGCATGTCTGTGTTACTGCCAAGTTATGTTTGTGAAATGCTTTTTAAAAGAAGGGATAAAAGCAAAATACCCATTACTTAACGATTACTTCTCCAACTACCTATTTATTATTCTTCATAATAAATGAGGTTATACATTGAAAATGACAACTTCATTTAACACTATTGCATAAAACACAAGGAAGTGAAGCTCACTTAGAGAGAAAACCTCTAAGCGAGCTTCAGTTAGCTCAATAATGAGTATTATTGTCAACATTTCTCCCAACTGCAGGTTTGAAGAAGAATTTGAAGAAACAGCACATGTCAAATTAAGGAGACACCTGTCCCCGGTGAATAATGGTTAAGGTAAAAAGCTTAAAAAGAAAGCAACAAATGGGGAGATACAAAGTGCAGTTCTAACGTGCAGATCTATTAAGAACAGTTATTTAAGACCGACGTGTCAGAGGAGATTTTAATTCCAAAGATTAATTTTCTTATTCCTTCAATGTGAATATGTGAGGTCAAGAAAAATGCCTGCCTTTCTCAGGAAATGGGCCTTGTTTCTGGTTTCTCTTAATATCACTGGAGAATGACCTTTCCCAGATGATTAGGTTTTCCTGTTAACTCAGGTCTAACATTTTACTGCATCTGAATGCTATTTAATAAAATGAACTTTGAAGTTTCTTTCCTTAATAAACTACAGCTGAAATCAACTAAAACCGCAATCCTCAGGGTCAGAATTTTGAAAGTCAGTTTGGTATTTTGTTCACTCTAAGACAGGAGATGTTGATACTATAGGACCTAGGGGTGAATGTTATCTAGTTCACGAAGATGATCTGAAATGTTACTTCTTTAAATAAAAGGAAAATTTTTGTGAGATATTAGGACTTTTCTCATTTTTTTTATCTTTGTCACGTTAGTGTAATATTTCTCTCTGCAAAACATTGTACAAATATGCTGTTGAATTAGGGACAAAGATGGTTTTTTGCAAATTTCTGCTAGGTGCTAATATTTAAAGAGACGATCACTGTCATTCTAGAATATAGTAATGACTCCTACGCTGTTGAGGCCGTGTAGGGAACTTCACCTCAGCAGGGATCGTCTGTGTTGTTCACTTGTATATCCAGAATGCGTAGAATAGTGCCTAGCACACGACTGAAGTTGACCCAATATTTTTTGGACCAATGTTCTCCATAGTTTATCTGTC